CTAACATATTTTGGTCAAAAATATACGGACAAAAATGTAAAGTATGAATTTGTACAACAAATGTATCATTTCGCGAAGTCTGTAGCACTGCGACTAAGGGACCTCTTTAGTTAGAAAGACAGTTCTTAAGGTTTAGCTGTTTAGCTGGATCCATCAACTTCCTGTAAAGCATACTATAGGTAACCTGTTCATATAACATCATAATATTGTGTAAAAGTTGTGTTGAAGCTTTGAAGGTTTTTTACTCAATGACTCATAAACGGCTAAAAGAATTTGGATAAAATGTAGCACACAGATAGACCATGTCATAGAAGATTTTTACGTGGTGGAGCCATGCTACAGCTATATTATGGTTGTAGCACGAATGGGTTGTCTCCCTCCGGGAAAAGATCACGCTCTCTCAGAAAACTAGTGTAAAATTACAGCTCAGTGCTGCTGTGGTTCTTATAGTGAGTATAAAGAACCGGATACCCTTTTTACTGGATGCGCGGCATTTCATCTTAGTCCTGAAGTGTCACCGTTGAGGACGCATATGTATTTTGATTTTTAATGGAGGATAAATGTAGATGTCTGGTCACAGTAACCATCAGGTGGACTGTGTGCTCGTTTGTCGTCCTTATTCTGTAAAAAATATCTAATTTTTCCAACAAATGATGATTTTTACCAAGGCGATGAAATATATGGCGCAGGAGAATGAAACTGTAGGCGTTTCTCTCTCCACAGAGGCAGCGCCGCGGGCAGAAGCTAGTTGTTCATTATTTGTTTACTGTAGATTTGGTGTGGGCTACGATATGCATCAGTTGATTCTGAGAATTTTAACAAACATCGCACAAACATGTTGTGGACTCATGTAATTTAAAAAAATGCACTAAAGAAACATTGACGATATACCTTAGTTGTAATTTCGAAAACATTTTCTGTAAGAGATAATACATGTTTAAAGTTAATTTTATAATTTTATACAGTAATGTCGTTAAGACCGATTTCGATTATAGTGGCCGGTCTCAACGGAGACTAGCCATCAGGGTAGATTAGGATGATAGTGCCCAAGTGTATCCGCAAGCACAGGGTCCATTCCCTGGCTCTTATAGTCCGATGGGACAGTAAACCGACACGACCGGAGAGAGATCAGAATCAACACGGGTGTGAAACATAGCCAACTGTCTGATCCCGGGCCGCCACTGAGAATTTCTTACAGAAAAACCCAGTAACTTATTTCTCAACTGGCTCGACCCGGGATTCAAACCTCATGATCTGCAATCGTTCACGAACAGTAAACCAACGAGACAGTCAACGAGGTAGTTAATATAATATATAGAATGGAAAACAATGAACGACTCATCGGTAACTAAAGCATGATGATGATGAGATCCCGACGACCACTTCTAGATATTTCAGACTCTCAATTGCACAGGGCATTAATGTTGAATCACAAGTCCTTGCATGATAAATCGGAAGTTTGCGGGTAATTTATATTATAAATAATTATATAAAAACTACTTCTTGAGAAACTCTTGGGAACTGCCCTGAGTAAAATCAGCAAAAAAGCCAAGGGGACTTAATGATTTCTTATATTTACGCGAACACTACACATTTTAATTTTAAATAAAACTAGTTTTACGGATTTTATCGCATATATTAACTTATTTTATATTCCCGATGTTTCAAGTACTTTACAGCACCCATGGTGACGGAGGCAGTCTGTGAACACAAACAGGATCGCCCCCGTCACTACATTAGATTTGATAGACCACAAATCCTCGCTAAAGAACACCGATTCCTTCCAAGGATGATTTGCGAGGCTATTGAAATCAAAAAACATCCTAATTTCAAAAGAGAGAATGTCTGGGTGCTCCCATCTGCTTGGATTCCTATAATTAATAAAATTAAATCCCGACCCAAGCATACAACTGCAAGACTTCAAAATACTGTAAGTTCATACTGCGTAGATCGGAACAAAAATGAATAATTTCTAATCTGGAGGTAGCCGTGGTCCCTATGACATTGGGACGTCAAACATCTCAGTCCCCTCCGTGAGCATGGGTGCTGTAAAGTACTCGAAACATGGAATATAAAATAAGTTAATATACGCGATAAAATTCGTAAAACTAGTTTTATCCAAGGGGACTTTTTTAAGAAGTTAAAGTCAGATTAAAAATAAAAGCTGAAAATAAAACTAAAAATGGGAATATAAAAAAAAATCGTATTTATTTTTTATTTCGAGTTTTACAAGAAAAGTATAATACTTACTGGAGACAATTATTTTATATTATAATAGTACATGATATTCCCTTTAAAATGACACCAATATCAGTAATATCTTGTATACTCAATATACATAAGTATATTATGTTTACCCGTTGAGTTATATGTACTACGTACTAGAGACGCATTTCCAAACAAAAATTGTGCGCTACTCTATGTCTTCGCGCATGCGCGGGAGATAGTAGAGACGCCTATGCGCGAAGGCTTTTATTTAATATAAAATAAGATATTAATATAAAATAAATATAAGAATTTAAATGCTTTTACAAAAATTTACTTCGCAAATATCCGCGTTATAAAATAAAATGATGTGTCTTACCTAGTATGAAGAAGCACATCATTTTATTTTATAACGCGGATATTTGCGAAGTAAATTTTTGTAAAAGCATTTATATAATGGATTTCCGCAAAGTAACGCCTGATTCTATTAATTATATAAGAATTTAATATAAAATACTCTTATTTTAATCTAAACAAACATATTTATAAATAAAATGTAATAATAATTATCATAAGGAATTCACAAATGTTCAATTTACGCAATATTTAGTTTAGTGTACGGACTGGAACATGTCTGGTCACATTTTTTTAGAAATTACAGTACTTACAGTGTGTGAAGTTTCTGGTGTGGGTTTCCAAATTACTCAGCGTAACACGCATGAAATACGTTGGAGATTGCGTTTTATTATATTTATTTATTTATTCTTTTTTACATCTACCTTATAATAAGGGATATAAAGGGCGAACTTAATGCCTTGTGGCATTCTCTAACAGTCTACCCTGGATGATTTGAGAAGCTGTGGTAGGTGCAACACCACTCCATAAACATTATATCTTATAACAAAAAGCAAATAAATAAAAATTATTTAAACTATACAAACCACTGCATGCAGGAAATAGAGTGAATGAGGCTCTACACTCTATTGTGAGAAGTCAGAATGTGTCCAAAAAGGCACATCAGGATAGTGCCAAATGGAAATCCATAGTCTCTGCCTACCACTCTGGGTGACAGGCGTGAGTGTTTATATTATATTATACAAACTCAATATCTACTTTGTAATAAAGGAAAAAAATAGTAAATATATAAACGGATAATTATACATACAAAATCTCTAAATAAATATGAAATAATATAACACAAAAATAAAATAACATGATGCATATTAAAATAAATATTATACAAAATATCAATTACAAAGCGAAAGAGGGAGAAAAACAAAAATCGGATAAATCAGGTGGTATTATCCCTTTTCTTTTAGGATAGGGTGACAAACGAGCACACAGTCCACCTGATGGTAAGTGGTTTCTGCGGCCCATAGACATCTACATTTATCCTCAATAAAGAATCAAAATGCAGATGCGTCGTCACCCGTGAGGATTAAGATGGAATGCTTCTTTTCCAGTAAAATGGGTCTCCGGTTCTCTACACTCACCATATGAAACACAGCAGTGTCAAGCTGCTATTTTACGCAGGTATTCTGTGAGAGCGTGGTCCTTCCCCGGTCGAGCCGACCCATTCGTGCTACAACTATACTACTAATATAGCTGCAGCATGGCTCTACCACGTAAAAGAATTCTCGAACTAGTCTTTTAAAACAATGTTTGTTACTGGTTTTTTTTATATGAACAGGCAAGGCATTTTAGAGCAGTATGGACAGCACAGTAAAAGAGAAATTAAAGAAACCACTCTTATGTGGTGGAATACGAATTTTAAGACTATTTTGGGAACGGGGAACTCTATCATGAGTAGAATATTGGTACTGAAAGTTATTCTTATGATAAGAAGGAGAATTTGGGTCATTTAAATTTGAATATAGTACTTGTAAAATTCGGGAGCTACGCCTTCGACGAATAGAAAGCCATTTAAGCTTAGAACGGTACTGTGAAACATGGTCATACTTACGTAAGGCGAAAATGAACCTAATGCAATTGTTGAGAAGGCTCTCCGACTTATCGAGAAGATATTGAGATAGATCTGGGTAACACACATCCGCATAATCAATAATGGGTAATATCAAAGTCTGGACAAGTAGAAATTTAGTTTTAAAAGGCAGAAAGTTTTTAAGACGGCAAAGAGAACGTAAGGTGGCAGTAGCTTTACGGCTTATTTCAGGAACTTGAACTCCCCAGCTTAAGGTATGGTCCATATGTCAATGTTTTATTAAATTTTCTATGGATACAGCACGAATGGGTCGCCTGGAATACTATGCGAGCGTGAAAGAGCACTGCTGTGTACCTGTGATACGATGAGCGTAGAGAAGCGGAGACACTTTTTCCATCTGAAGGACTTCGTGATAATGTCCATCGTCGAAAATATTAAATTTGATTTAAATATTTAATAAAACAAGTATTTAATAGGGTTTATGTCATTTTTAGAGTGGCTAAGGGGCTAAATTATGTTGTAACATGACATAACCTATTAATTAATTAATTAGGCGCCTAATTAGCGTAAGTGCAAGAATACATAACGCGGGCGCACATGTCCTCCGAAATAGAAACAATCGCATAAACAGCCGCGTACAGACAGTGCGCGCAGTTTCTCAGAAAACGTTTTCCTCGTCACAGAGCGGTGACGAATCCACTACGTCACATGTGACGCGGCGCCGACGATAAAAAGTGAGCGGTGATCGCGCCGCCGGCCCTAGTGCTACACCGCCATCCCGCGAGCTACCGCAGTGCCACAGCCTCGCAGATTCAGCCCTGCATCCGCAAAACTGGCCCCTCGCCATGCTTGCATGGAGCCTGCGTCCTCAACGCCCCCCTCCGACTCCGAATCCGACTCGGGGGATGACACAGTTCCCGCCGGTAAAGTGAAGTGTGATTTTTAAATATGCGAAGTCTACTAAATAAATTTTTTTCAGTGATACTACCAAATATTTAGGATTTGTGTATCAGAATACAGGGTGCGAACGTTCTTGTGAAAATCTGAGTCTAGTGTTGATACCAATTTAGGAGCAACAAGTGGTTTCAGATCTGTATTTTTGTTTGTTGAGATGAGGCTGTTTATAGGATTTAGAAGTGATTTCATATAGTGTAAACCTAAGGTTTAGTGTACTTAGATCGAGATGCGGTATGTAAAATCTCACTCAATTTATGTTCACGGACGTTAAAAAATGTTAAACTTATTTGCAAAAGTATGGCGCCTAAAAATAAAATTGTCAAAAACCTACCAACCAGAAAACAAAAGGAGTTAGAATTAAAACATGCTAGATGCTAGTAGTATTGTGTCAGCAGTTTGTATCCTTCTGTCATTGTCCGTTTTAAAAATTAGTAGAAATGATAGTCGCTTTTTATAAAACTTCGTAATTAAATAATGCCATCGTAACCCGAAAATAATACGCAAATAATAAAAGTTTAAATTAATAAAGTTGACACACTTATGATGTCTATTGTATAAAAATATATAATATTTATTTCGCAAACTTCATTATATTTAGTTTTACCACCTATACTATAATATGGTTATAAAAATCAAATGTTGTATAACCTCAAAGTATAGGTGGTATAAAATAAAATTAACTAAAGTTTTATTTATAGGAGAGTGTTTCATATAAAATTTATGCTGATCCTAGAAATTTCACATTCAACTTCAGGTACGTCTTGGATGACAGGCACATTATATCTTTACATTAAATTACACGCCGCGCCGGTATGAGCTTAGGCCTATTTGATATCAAACAATTCTTGAAATGAGCGACATCAAGCAAACGGGATTAAGAGTTTTCATAGTTTATTGATTTAATAATTAAACATAATATAACTGTCATACTGAATAACGTACTTAATATTAAAATTGCCTTTCCCCTTTACTTGTAATACATTTACAATGTTTATAAAATATATTTCTTCAATTATTTTATTATCAAAAATCACTAATTATAGTTATTAAGATTCAGATACAAATTATTTTTTAAAGGACTGGCTTTATTGTTGTGGTACCTAATATTTGAAAAGTTTTATAATCAAATGCATAAAACGTGACGTGTTACAAATAAATAATTATATTTTACTAAAAAGTTTGCCACTTTGAGACCAATCTATTGGAAAATATTGCAGGTCTTATTTGTGATTTTGAATTTTTCATTAAACTCATACCTCTTTTTGTATATAGGATAAGCGCGACAAACGAGCACACAGTCCCCCTGATGGTAAGTGGTTGCTGTGGCCCATAGACATCTACATTTATCCTCGTTTGCGAATCAAAATGCAGATGCGTTGTCACCGGTGAGGACTAAGATGGAATGCCTCGTTTCCAGTAAAAAGGGTCTCCGGTTCTCTACACTCACCATACGAAACACAGCAGTGTTGAGCTGCTATTTGACGCTGGTATTCTGTGAGAGCATGGTCCTTCCCCGGTCGAGCCGACCCATTCGTGCTACAAATATACTACTAATATAGCTGCAGCAAGGCTCTACCACGTAAAGAAGAAAGATTCTCGAGTGGTGGCCTCGTATCAGTAAGCAAAGCGTAAGGCAACCCTCGCTAGATGGAGTAGCGACCTGATAAAACATGCTGGAAGTAGATAATAGATAGTACCGTGCTTTGTGACACTGCTTGGGAAGGCCTATGTTCAGCAGTGAACTTACGATGGACTGTAATTTAAATGAATTAAACATTTTTATTTAATATTTAGGTTGATATGAAAGAATAGTCTCATCTGGAAGAATAATATCATTTCCACACGTGGTAGAGACACGCAGCAGCTATAATAATAGTATAGTTGTAGCACGAATGGGTCGGCTCGATCGGGAAAAGATCACGCTCTCACAGAATACCAACGTAAAATAGCAGCTTAACGCTGCTGTTTCGTATGGTGAGTGTAGAGATCCGGAGACCCTTTTTACTGGAAACGACGCATTACATCTTAGTCTTCACGCATAACGCATCTGCATTTTGATTCGTAATCGAGGATAGATGTAGATGTCTATGGGCCGCAGCAACCAATTACCATCAGGTGTACTATGTGCTCGTTTGTCACCCTTATATTACAAAAAAAATCTAGTTTATTCTACTCAAAACTATAGATAATATCAAAAAAATAGTATTAAATAGGTCTCCCTTTCTGTCTGTGGGTGTTTGACTAAGTACCAAATTCTTGCATTTTTTTGGAGAATAAGAGTGATGAAAGAGCTCACAGCCCACCTGTTGGTAAGTCGATGCTGTGGCCCATAGACATCTACCTCCCATCCTCGATTAAGAATCAAAATGCATATGCGTTGTCACCCCTGAGAACTAAGATAGAATCTTTCTACTCTTACCATACGAAACACAGCAGCATTAAGCTGCTATTTTCGGCTGGTTTTCTGTGAGAGTGTGGTATTCCGGTCGAGCCGGCCCATTCTTGCTACAACCATAATATAGCTGTAGCGTGGCGATACCACGTATGCAATGCACCAAAGTGACAATGCACCCATTACTATGTTTTAGTGTAAAGAGCATGTAGAGTTAATATAATTATTAATCACAGATGTCGAGACATCCCATCTTAGTCCTTGCCAGTGAAAACGCATCTGTAACATTATTTATTTGAAGTTGAATATGGTCCTAGGCTACTGAAGCACCATCTTACCATCAAATGGACTGTTAGCCTGTTTTCTACCGACTTCAATAAGGAGCTGGTACTCAATTCGACTGTATGATTTTTTATGTGTTACCTTATTAATTTTTCTGGGTGAACCGATTTCGATGATTCATTTTTTATTTGGAAGCTAGTGCTTCACATGTGGTCCCATATGAATTTAATAGAATCAGGCGTTACTTTACGGAAGTCCATTATATTAAAGTTGGTAAAATATTACTTCGCGTGCATCCGCTCGATGAAATAAAATGATGTGTCTTACCTAGTTTGAAGAGCACCTCCTGCCCTCCCTCAATTGCGTGCACTATCACCGTCACCACTAATCCCAGCACCACTACTCCCAAAACCACTACACTAGGAAAGACACACCACTGACGACAATACGATACGTGTTTCGCCTCTACACGAGGCATCTTCAGGTAATCTAGATTAGTTGGGAGTAGTGGTGCTGGGATTAGTGGTGACGGTGATAGTGCACGCAACTGAGGGAGGGCAGGAGGTGCTCTTCAAACTAGGTAAGACACATCATTTTATTTCATCGAGCGGATGTACGCGAAGTAATATTTTACCAACTTTACCATTTGAATTTGATCAAGGTCTGACCAATAGTTTTCAAGTTATTCTTACTAATTTATATTGAAGTCGGCTGTACAAATTTAATTAAATTATATAAATTTAATTTTAAATTATTTATCATAAGCCAATTCTTGAACACCTATTATCTCACCGGCTAATATCTACATATCTCACTCTGTAAGTGGTGATGTACCTTCTCTACATAGTGTAAAACAAAGTCGCTTCCAGCCGTCTGTACATTTATATCTTTTAAACTACACAACGAACTTTTACACAGTCTTCATCTATAGACAGAATTATTCAAGAGGAAAGTTTATATGTACGTATAACATATACATATTAAATAATTCTTATGTCCGTGTGTATGTAAACACTTCCTAAACGGCTGGGCCGATTTTGATGAAATTTTGTGTGTGTGAGTAAGTTAATTAGAGAATAGTTTAGATTTACAATTGGACCCGATAGGTGGCGTTGTTGTCGAGATACAGAAATAAAAAGTGCGAAACCGGAGCATATCGCTAGTCCGAATATAATTTTCACTGTAATGTTTAAAAAGGCTTATTGTCATGGTAGAGCCACGCTGCAGCTGAAATGTTATGATTGCAGCACGAATGAGTCGGCTGGACTCTTTTTACTGGTAACGAGGCATTCCATCTTAATTCTTAGCCGTCAAGGATGACAACGCATTTACTTTCTGTTTCTTAATCGAGGATAGATGTAGATGTCTGTGGGCCTCCTCATCTACTTACCATCAGGTAGACGTTGTGTTTAAACTAAAATGAAAAACAGTTGTGGCTCTCTTATACAACGATGACGATGATTATTTGCATTTTTTTTTGGAAAGTTAGAGTCGCAATCGTGCCTGCAGTCAACCGGACGGTAAGTGGCTACAACAGCCCATGGATTCCGGCATCCAACCTTAAAAGTTAAGGCTGGGTACAAATTGACTGCTTTGTGGACATTGATATAATTGTACTGACTCAAACATCCTTTAAACCGAGCAATAATCAATGCTACTCCTAGTTTTTTTTATAGTCTAAGGTTGACAAGCAAGCACACCGCCCATCTAATAGTATGTGGATGCTGTGGTTCATTGAAATCTACATCTATTCTCGATTAGAAACAAAATGCAAATGCATTGTCTACCCTGAAGACTAAGAAGGTATTTCTAGTTTCCAGTAGAAATAATTACCGGTTTTCTACACTTACCATACAAAACGCAGCAACATTATACTGCGAGATCATCTTTCGCCCGTCGAACCGACCCATTCGTGCTTCAGTTGTAATTAGCTGCAACATGGCTCTACCCATTGAGCTATTATGTACGCTCTACCACGTGTAAATACAGGCTAACTCCTAGAGTAAGGAGTGCTGTCACCCAGTAGAACATTAACAAGAGTATTTACTAAAAGCTTTGTAATTTGATCAATTAAACTAAATCCTAAAATAAAAAATACTTCTCTGTTTGCACTTTGCACGTAACTGGGCATATATGTACAAACAGGAACATTTACCCTCGTAATTTATATGTTGCTGTAGTAAATTATTTTTTCAAAGGTACAAGTAATTGAAAAACTTCTTAAATAGTTTAATAAAAACTTATAAAATGTATTTGCAATGATTATAATTAAAAATTAAAATGTTTATAAAATAGACTTCAATATAAATTATTAAGGATAATTCAAAAACTAATGGTCAGACCTTGATCAAATTTATATGGGTCCACGTAAAAAGCACAAGCTTTCAAATAAAAAAAGAATTATTGAAATCGGTTCACGCAGAAAGAAGTTATGAGGCGACACACATACAGTCCAGTCGAGTACCTCCTCCTGTTTGAAAGTGGTAGAAAATTAAACTAATTAAAAATTAAAAGCCGATTTCAAACAATTATAAGGAATGAAATAATCTTCTGATGTCGTGCTTTAATTCCTCTATGCACTATATCTTAGAACTGACTTCTGAAGCTTTTATTTGGAAATTGTTTTATTCCTTTTTTTATCAGACTTCAGAAAGGAGGAGGTTCTCAATTCGAGTGTATGTATTTTTTGTATGTATTTTTTTTTTTATAGTATAGGGTGACAAACGAGCACACAGCCCACCTGATGGTAAGTGGTTGCTGTTGCCCATAGACATCTACATCTATCTTCGTTTGTGAATTAAAATGCAGATGCGTTGTCAGCCGTGAGGACTAAGATAGAATGCTTCTTTTCCAGTAAAAACGGTCTTCGGTTCTCCACACTCACCATACAAAGCACAGCAGTCACGCTGATATTTTGTGAGAGCGTGCTCCTTCTCCGGTCGAGCCAACCCATTCGTGCTACAACTATACTACTAATATAGCTGCAGCATGTCTCTACCACGTATAGGATATAGTTAAGTTCATTCTGTGTAGATCGAACCAAAAGTAATATTTAAAAAGCTAAAGGTACTCTGGGTTAACTCTGACATCAGGACGTTAATCAGCTCAGTCCCCCGAGATCAAGGATACTGCAAAGCACCCGAAACGTCGTTAATTAAAATTAAGTAGATTGAACATTTTTTATTCAGTTATTGGGTATTCCTGAGGAGAAATTCCCAGTAGCTATAAGGAATTAGGAAGTTGACGGTGTTTCGCCACCGTCCCTGGAAAGCATGTAAATCCTTCTTGGTCATGCGCCTGATCTCTCTCATTTCGTGTCGGATTACCGTGCCATCGGACTATGAGAGTGACGGAATAGAGATTGCACCTGTGTTCGCGCACACACTCGGGCACTATAATCCTGTCCAGCTCAGATGGCTAGTTTCCATTGAGACTGGCCGTCGTGACCGAAATTCGGTCTGGAAGACATTATGTCTATGAGCCTCCGCATCCACATACCTACAAGTGAACTGTGTGCCCGTTTGACACCCTAATTCTGTAACAAAACGTACAACTGTTACCGGTACACTTAAAATCCACGGCTGAACATAGGCTCCCCCACAGATTGCCTTATAGGGGGGGGATATTTGCCTAAAATAAAACTAATTAAACGGATTTTATCGCGTATATATTATGTATTAACTTATAAAATATATTCCCAATGTTTAATTTTTGTTCCGATAATAAATAAAAATAATTTTTAATCTGGAGGTAGCCGTGGTTAACTATCGTCGATACGTCGGGACGTCATACACCTCAGTCCCCCCCCCCCCCCCCCGTGACCATCGGTGCTGTAAAGTGCTCGAAACGTCGGGAATATAAAATAAGTTAATATACGCGATAAAATCCGTAAAATTAGTTTTATTATAAAGGTGTAGTGTTCGCGTAAATATAAGAAATAATCAGATATTTGCCTTAGTTGGCACGCTCGGCTGGCGGGTTTTTTATGTTTAGTCGTTATTACGAACACGCTGCTGCCGATCTCTTGATTTGTTTTTCTCTGTCGCCTCTTACGACCCCCACGGGATGATATGGGGCAGTGGATCCATACACTACTATCACTCGGCCGCACACCAGTGCACACAAGTAACAACGCAAGTTTCCTCGCAGATCCAGCGAAGTGGGAGCGGCGCGACGTGGTGCGGTGCGTGCGCTGGGTGGCGCGCAAGTTCGGCGTGCGGGCGCCGCGCCGCAGCCTGCTGCCGCGCTGCGGGGCCGGCCTGCTCGCGCTCGACGACCACGCCTGGCTCCAGGTACCACACCCAGCGCCAAACACATCTACGTATACTGCGAGTGTTGCTCTGCGCTCTTAATACTTTGCCCACTAATTGTAAGTTACGCTCAATGACGGTTAATAATTTTCTGCTCACCGGTTGTCGCCAGTCGACACTGAGGTAAAGTCTTTTGTTACAAAATGTCATTTAATTGAGAAGTTGTTTTTTAATAAAAGTTTATCAGTTTCTACAGAATTGTTATATTAACACACAAAACAATGTGTCAGTGGTTTGCTCTTTAATTTTTTGCACATTTTTCACTTTTTTTTTAATTTTTCTACTTTTATGAATATTTGTGATTTGGGGTATTTATTTTTAATATAAAGTATAGCTAATAGTACAAAAATACAAAACGAAACAATAACTTTTACATTTTCCGAACAAATTAACTTCCCCACTATGAAGTCTGTCAAATATTATACCTCACTTTCTAGTGGCGCCGCCCTGGTGGCAGAAAAAGTCGTGGATACCCTCATTCTGCGTAAGTTCTTTAGTCGACTACGAGCGGCCGAGGACACTATTTTTGGTTTTGTAATCTGATTAAGTGTTAGTACCTACTTAAGTACTAATTGTAATGTGACGAAGAAAATACTGTCATTATTCATGTGCGCACTTTGTCAAAGTGATTTGAATTATATTTCAGATATGTATGTACGACCACGCCTCCGTCCGCGCGATCTCTCTTTGGTTTCTCATGGGGTTAATGCTGTCAGCCTTTTGACTCTTATAGCGTCATTGGACTCATGGTTCTCAGAGCTATAAAGTGGGAGGAGGTTATTTATTTTACAACGTTGCGAAAGCACACAGCCCACCTGACACTGTCTGTCTGTCTGTCCGTGATAATTTTCGGAATACCTGAACCGATTGTAATGAAACTTGACGAACAGACAGCAATATCAGGAGTGATCTTGGCTATATTTTATTCAAAAAACTTTGTAAAATTCATTCATACAGGTCATTGAAGATTGTTTTAATCCCCAACGCAAAAAGAGCGGTGTTATAAGTTTGACCGCTATGTGTGTCTGTGACACCGTAACTTTTAAACGGGTAAACCAATTTGGGCGCGGTTGTTTTTAAAAGCAGATTTTCTAGCGGTGGTTCTTATTCTTAGACATGTTTTATAAAAATCGGTTCAGCTGTTTGAAGGTCATCAGCTGTTTGTGTTTCGGGGGTTTTTAAAATTTAAAATTTAAGTTATATAGAATCTTAATAACGCCACATTAAAGATCCTACACAGACAAAGCCGGGTCGGGTCGCTAGTTTATAATATCATTTCGCAACTATTGTTATTAAATTTTTATGGTACGAAGAATGTGTGGTGCCAGGGACGACTTATGGAACTGAAACACAGTCCTTCACTGCCGGACGTATGAGGAAGCTCAAAGTAACTGGAGTGCACTGAAAAGAGCTATTTAGAATTTCTCTGCGGGATAAACTCCCCTGTAATCCGCGATCACGGCTCCGTGGCGATTACTCGGCAATGAAATGCAGCGTTGAGGGCCGCGGGTTCGATCCCGCACAGAGCAAGTATTTATATAAGCTACAAATAAATGCTCCGGATGTTTCTCTGCCCTCACGGCACAAGAGAAATTTTTAGTGTGGAGGTAACGTCTTCCGCGGACCATCCACGGATATCCGCAGAAAAACAAAAGTAACTATTTTCCATCAGATCAGTAGGCTGAAGTGGCAATGAGCCATATAGCTGGAGCCAACGACAACCGTGGGAGACGAATGGTTCTCGAGTGGCAGCTTCGTACAGGGCGACTTTCTACACGGAGTGACGATCTTTAGATACATGTCCCAGCCAGAGTGAAACACGCAGGCAGCCAATGGGTAGAGCTGCATAGATTGCAACGAAGTACAGTCCCGAGCTACCTGTAACTCTATCTATGGAAAAGGCAGGGAACTTGTGATGAGCTGTAGTAATAGTGATATATGCAGTACACCAGGCTTCTAAGCTAATTCGAGAATATTCCAGCAATCATCTAACCTTATACTGAGTATTCTTTGAACCAATGAGTGTATATTGGTGCTTGCGCAGGTATGCGAGGGTAATTCTGCGGCGGCGCGTATCTTCAGTGCGTACGTTGCGCACGCGCACGCCTCTGCCACCGGTCGCCCGCCGCCCGCACCGCTGCCGGAGCACCAGGCCACACCGGCCACACCTGCCACTTCAGCGACCGCTCTGCCCGGTAACTCTTTTAATATTTAACTGATATGATATCCGAACTTACTGTCTGATGGTAAGTGACTTCTGCAGTCCATGGACACCTGGAGCCAGTTTCATACAAAGAAGATTACATATGCGTTGTCACCTCTGAGCACTAAGTTGGAATGTGTCCAGCCTCTAATTATCCTGGCTCTCTTTACCCTTCAGAAAGAATCATAACATTTCAAGCAGTAATTTTAACAAGTTTATTGCAGCAAGTGTGTCTTAAAATTCCCTATCATATCCCTAGACACCCAATTACTAATTTATTAAAGATTCCCTTCAGTAGAACCAATCTTGGTAAGTTTTCTCCGTTAATTATATGTTTATCACATGCGAACTTACAACAGCTTAAACAAAGATGACATCGATATCTTTAGCGACCCCGAACGTGTATTAAAAGAATATGTAAAGACTTACTATTTCCTACCTTGCCCAATTAATGATTCTAAACTATTATTACCTAATATTACTGACGGCTGTAACACAGTTTATACTAGTATGGCCGTCAACGCTAACTTCTTTGAAATGTTTTTTTTTTTGTAATTTAAAATAGATATAATACATAAGTGTAATTTGTCAAACTGAGAGTCTAATAAATTATTATTATTATTGTTGCGGTATCTATAAAGTTTTCTCATCTGGTTGGGCAGTATAAATATATAATTGTAAATGAAAATGGTAAACATACATAAATATGAATAAAATAAAATAAATACAAAAAAAAATACATAAATATATAAAAACCCAACCAGATGGAAGCCCTCGGCAGGGGAGACCAGACGGCCGAGGGTTAGGGGGAAAGGGAAAGAAACCGGCGGACGATGCGGGCGGTATCGAGGAGCACCGCCTTCTGCATTTGAGCTTGGAGCGGTCCGTCACGGAATGCCAGTCGCCTGAGATGACACAAGAGGCTGACTGGGATTAACCCGTTCACAGAAACGACCACAGGAATAATTTCGGCTGGCAGAACACCCCACATGTCAGTAACCTCGTGAAACAGGTCCAGATATTTTGTCAGCTTCTCTATTTCGGCTTTCACAAGGTTCTCGTCATAAGGAATGGTAATGTTGACCAAAAATATCCTTGACTGTGCCCGGTCCATCAGCACAATATCAGGCTTATTCGCAAGAATAGTCCTGTCTGTGATGATGGCCCGGTCCCAGTAGAGCCTGGCGCGGTCATTTTCGAGCACGGCTTCCGGCAAGTACTTATAATACGGCAGTTTCCGATCCACGAGGCCGTATTTCAGAGCGAGCTCCTGGTGTAGAATCCTGGGATTCTACACCAGGAGCTCGCTATGAATTACTACGGCTACTAGATTGTGTCTGTGCAAATACTCAGAGTTAGAAAGCGCCGAACAATCGGAGATGACATGCCTAAGTGACTCACCGGGATGGCGACAAGCTCGACAGATGTCGACGGCGCCATCCTTTAGGATGTATCTCCGATAATTGTTGGTCTTAATAACCTGATCCTGTATCGCACAGACAAAACCCTCGGTTTCCCCAAAGAGGTCACCGAAACGTAGCCAGTGAAGGGAGGCGACTGTGTCTACGAAAGGCTCATGTAGAACCTTGTAGAACCTCCCGTGGAGCTCCTTCTCCTTCCATACGGCCTCCCGGTCGGAAATGCACTGTACTGCTGGGTCTTGCCATTGCTCGTTGGCTAAGGATAGAGGGGTCAGTCCTTTATCACAAGAAATAACGTCCCTATAGTATGGATCATCCGCTCTCGTCGGAAAGTAATTACGGAGGCTGCACACTTCGCGATTATGTATGGTAAGCGCGCTTAAAAAGCCGCGCCCACCATGCTTTCGCGGCAAGTACAGCCTCATTACTGACGATCTCGGATGATGCATCCTGTGGGACGTCATTATAGTGCGGACTTTTCTGTCCAGAGCGTTTAGTTCGGTCTGAGTCCACCTAAGTATGCCAAAGGTATACATGAGAACAGGCATGACCCAACCGTTATATGCGTGCGTCTTATTCACACCGGACAAAAGGCTGTTAAGCACTTTGGTCAAGCGTGCATAAAACACATCGCAAACTGACTGTTTCCTACCCACCTCATCACCACCGATGTTCTGTGACATACCCAGGTATCGGTATGTTTCAGCCTCGGAAAGGGTCCTTATGTTGATGGGCATAGATAAATCTATGCTCTCAGAGTTAGCAACCCTTCCCCTTTCAACATGGAGGACCGCACACTTATCCGTCCCCAGCCCCATTCCATTAGAATTGCTAAAATCACAAGTGATGTTTAGCAATTCCACAAGATGAGAGCGACTGGAGGCGAATAACTTGAGATCATCCATATAGAAAACTTCACTGTGTGGGTCACTTTTGTACCTCCCCTCCGAAACTGAAATCCCCTCCCGGAGCCCTCCAGTAAGGTACTGAGAGGGTTCAGAGAGAGGAAGAACCAGATTGGACTCAGACAATCGCCCTGGAAGATACCCCTTCTTATCCTTATGTTGTTCTCCGCAGCCGTCATCCGCTCGCCTAGATGACAAAGAATCGTACTCCACTGCCCCATACACTGCCCGAGGAAGTCTCGAACTGTACAGTCAACCTTGTACAGCTCGAGGACCCTCCCAAGCCATGTATGAGGCACCGAGTCGAATGCATTTTTGTAGTCTGTCCAGGCGGCGGATAGGTTCCGACGGTTGCGTTTAACCACTTTTCCAATGACCGCGTCAATGAGGAGTGGTTCCTTGGTTCCACGACCACCGCCCCGACAACCATTTTGAGCGCGCGACATCACCTGATTTGAGTTCAGGTGACGAGTGATTCTCGCGCTCAAAATGGATGTTAGTGTCTTATATATCGTGGGTAGACACGTGATGGGGCGGTATTTGCTCGGGTCTATGGTATCCCGGTCTTTAGGAACCAAATGAGTGATCCCAGTAGTGAAGAGGCTCGGGAGCGACTTTTGGTCGAGAGCCTCTTGAAATTGTCGGGCGAGCACAGCGTGACACACCACGAACCCCTTCAGCCAGTAGTGATGCAGCCCGTCGAGCCCCGGACTTTTCCAGTTCGTGGCCCTTCGGACCGCCTCAGCTACATCGTCCCGCGTTATAATGACGGGGTCCATGGGCGTAAGATTCGCACACTGACTCACCACAACTTCCGTCCAAGGGCCCTCGCTGTGGTTTACGGGCTCTGACCACAAGCCGCGCCAGAATGCGACAGTGTCGGCCTGATTCGGTATTGGCCCGTTCCACGTACCATTGGTCGCTCCAATGATTTATATAGCCTCTTCTGATCACTCTGGAAGAGACGATTCTGGTTGAACCGTGTCGACCTCTCGGTATATCGCCGAATCCGCTTCCCCCAAGCAGCGATTCTCTGCTTCAGGTCGTCTATGCGCTCCGTCAGTTTTTGCGTTATATCCGGCTGGGACAAACTATATATTTGTCCCAGCAAACGCCATTCTGACGGTGCGCATAATTCGCGGCCTATTATTGCCCGACCTGAAGCTTATCAGTCTGCCGATGAGGGCCCTTGCCTTTACGATACGGTCCTCAATCCTTCTTCTCCAGGCTGGAGTGGCGCTACTTTGTCTAGTAGCGCGTCCAGCCGTGGGAAGTTTGGCGCCAACAATACGGCAAACTGCCAGTGCGGCGCCAAAAAGAATTGAGTCCGTCTCGCAAAGATCCCGGCTGGCTTCCAAATAGCCTTTACGATACGGTCCTCAATCCTTCTTCTCCAGGCTGGGGTGGCGCTACTTTATTATTATTATTATTATGTTATTTATTGTAATTTTTTACTGGATGTAGTGCTTTTACTCAATTAGTTTGGTCTGATGCCCGGCTATTTTCAGTTTTTTTTTTGATAAAAATTAATATTCAAAAACTGAAGGTTTAATTAGTAAACTGCCGATTGATAGCAGAAATATGTAAGACTGTGGTATTTACCCAGATGAACTCCTAAAACAGGAGTCCCACCACCTACCACCTAGCTAATCCTCTTATTTACCTATTTAGCCAAATGATTTGCCAGCATTTGTCTTTCCATCCGATTACAATGTAGGCAAAATTGAATAAGTTTTTGTAAGGCACACTTGCTTTACCATCTTCGGCTGCATCGCCACTTAGCATCGGGTGGGATACGATTTATGCACTGACTTAACATAGTTAAAAAAAATTGACCACGAGACTTTGTCTATTCAAACAAGTATGAAGGCCAAAAAATGGTGAAAAACTATACAGCAAAGATAATAATACTAGATCTTCAGATCTTACAGATATTCTAGATCTTCTTTCCTCATTTGACAGTATTCAATTTCTAATATGGTAACAGACCTGCGAGGTAGTACTGAGGAGTATTAGTATTGTTAATAACATTACTAGAATTCCTTTCTATTAAAAAAAATTCGCCATAGCCTGTAGCAGAGATTATCAAACTTAATTAATTTAACGCCCCTTTTGAAAATCAATTATTTTTCAGCGCCCCCAATTTTTTATACACTCCTAAAACTTAAAAACCACAATTTCATTACTTTAATGAATTTAGTTATGGTTTTTCTTTTATAGGAGAGGGGGCAAACGAGCATGCGGCTCACCTGATGGTAAGTGACTACCGCCGCCCATGAACAACCGCAACACCAGGGGAATTGCAGATGCGTTGCCGGCCTTTTAAAAAGGAGTAGGCTCTTTTCTTGAAGGTCCCTAAGTCGTATCGGTCCGGAAAAATCACTGGTGGGCAACTATTCCACAAGGAAGTTGTGCGAGGAAGAAAACAACTTCTAAATCGCACAGTGGTAGACCGCCAATCATCCAGATGGTGTGGATGGTATCGGGAGTTATGCCGCGATGTGCGTTCGTGAAATTTGGCGGCTGGGATTAATCCGAACAATTCCTCAGAGCACTCCCCGTGGTAAATGCGAAAGAAAATGCAAAAATGGTGTGCTATATTAGTCGGTTCTGGTGTTTAAACTTCCATTCTAAACAAGACATTATTACCGATGAGAGCAGTTAAAACGCAACTTTATAATATTAAGAATATATTTTAATCAAATTAAAAGAAGCAGTATAGACAGGTAATCAATTTTAGTTTTAAAACTAGTCTAATGAGATGGATGAATTTGATGATTTTTAACAAGTTTGTTGGATATCAGATTCGATTTTACTCAAAAACAGTCGTAAGTCGCCGCGTTCGGTAACCTGCAAATGATTTATTTTTTTTAGTAAGCCAACGCTGCGTCACAGCGCTAAGTCCACGTTCACACAAATATAACGATGGGAATGCTATCAAAAATTGTTGAACGGTCGACCACAATCCAGCGTACAACTGCGTGATTGACTTTTATAGCCAAAATTATTGGTAGCCATTTTTGAATTTGATTTTTATTTCCTCGTTCGTCCTTCTTCCAGTTGGGGTGATACTGCTATGTTGGCATTTAAAAAGGATCTAATACCCAGTCTGGTATTTCCAATTTCAAAATAACCTGGAATCTTTCAATGAAATCTCTGTGGAGATTTTCCAAATGTTGGCAGAAGACAAGCAAGTCCTCATTGTTGCAGTATACTGATAAATTGGGAAAATTATGGAACTCACGTCTGCCGATATTCTTCTTGTGTAAGAGCAGTTACGAAAGCAGCGACGACAGTTTTTTTATTAAGTTCTAGTCATCGTCTGGAAGTTGGAGATTCATATCATTAAGCAATTTATAAAGGTCTGTCAGGTATGCGATATCATTCTTTGATATGATGAGGTTGTCGCGCAATTCTGTGTCTTTGTTTCCCAAGAACTCTACGGCAGAGTCAAACAGATTGTAAAATCGAATCAGACAATTTCCTTTTGATAGCCAACGCACTTCTGTGTGAAAGATCAATCGGTTGAAATCTTCATCATTAGTAACACAGAGCTGATTAAATAATCTGTTATTTAAAAAGTTGTTTCGGATTTTATTGACTGTAAAAGCTTTTAGAAAAATTTTTACTTCGCAAATATCCGCGTTTTTAAAATAAAATGATGTGTTTTACCTAGTATGAAGAGCACCTCCCGCCCTCCCTCAATTGCGTGCACTATCCCCGTCACCACTAATCCCAGCACCGCTACTTAGTGATTAGTGGTGACGGGGATAGTGCACGCAATTGAGGGAGGGCGGGAGGTGCTCTTCATACTAGGTAAGAGACATCATTTTATTTTATAACGCGGATATTTGCGAAGTAAAATTTTTTCTAAAAGCTTTTATATAATGGATTTCCGCAAAGTAACGCCTGATTCTATTAATTATTTTATTGACTGCTCTGATGACATATTGCAATCATTGAAACAGTCGTTCACTTAAATTTCTAGTAACCAAATGTTGTCAATGTATAACGCAATGTACAGCAAGCACATCTGGAATTTTGATTTTTAAGTACGCTATGAAGCCTTTTTGACTCCCCGTCATAGCTGGAGTACCATTTGTAGCAACTGATATAATATTCATCAAGGGAATTCCTTTTTCATCACAAAACTTTTCCAGTGTTTTCAATATGGTATGGTGCCTTTCGTGTCTGTCTATAAATTTCTAGCAAATAATTCTTGACATATTTTTCATCTTTAATAAACCTCACGTAAGACAGCAACAATGCTTCATTAGTTGGTAAAGTGGACTCATCCAAGTGACTTGAAAATTGACTAGTCTTCAGATGATTGCACAATGACCCTTCAATGTTTTCATCCATTTCATCAATTAGTCTTTCCACAGAACTATTGCTCAAAGGAATTTTTCGAATTATGTCTGCCGCCGGTTTATGGATCACAGTAGTTATAACTTCCTTTATTGCCGGCAATATTAACGTTTCTCCGATGGTGTCTGGTTTACCTGTTTGAGCAATTAACAAAGAGATATTGTATGAAGCTCGAAGTCCGTCATCGTCTTGCTTAGCAACCACTGAAAAAAGTTTTGATACACTTGGCTGAGCATTATGCTTCTTTTCCAGGTCTTGAAAATAGGCTACATTATTGTCCTTATTATCTGGATGCATTTTATTCAAATGATCTTGAAGTCTTGAAGGCTTATCGCTTCGTTTGCAAATGTTTTTAAATAAAGAAGACACAAAGGCAAAAATGGATTTGTCGAATTTTCTATGAATCCTTATTTAATATATTCTGCATTATATTGCCGTCTCTTCTTTTTTGCTTTCGACATGCCTATATCTTTACAAATATGTAAATAGAGTGTTGAACTTAAATACTTGTCTAAAGATTGCGCGCGAAACCACTAATGAAAATATAAACATTATTACGAGCTTTTATATAGGATTTAAATACAGCACGCAATGACAGGAATAAGACAAACACGCACAAACTCGGTTGTGTTGGCTTTGCAAACCTTAAGCTTTTTTCTAAAAATCTTTTATTTCAATACTTTTACAGAAAATCGTTTTTCTAGCTAAACACAATGAAACCTATTTAATTTTTTTTTAAATTAATAAATAGAAAAAGAAAAAATATATAATATTATTAGTTGCCCGGAAACGGCTATAAAGATTTGAAAGAAAATTTTGTACTTATATGATGTTTTTATTTCCATGTTTATCTAGGTGTCAACCGTGGAAAAATTATATTTTTTTTATTACGAGCACAGCTCAAGCGTAAAAATACTGTTGTTGTATTATTAAGTAAAATACAATACAAACGTGATTTTCCTCTGAAGCTTCTTTAAAAATTGTAATTAATTACTTACTTAAGTACTCAAAATTAACAAAGTTCAATTAACGTTGTTTCTGTATGTGAAAGCGATAAACGCGATTCATTGGGCCGTTTTTACGTGTTATAAGATACCACAAGTTATTAATCATAACCTATATAAATAAAATGATAGAGATTTGCGGTTGTGCGCGCATCACGGGAAAACTACTGGATAGATTTCACTTAAGTTTTCTAAGTTTTATTTCTTAGACATTTGGCCCTTGTCAAAAAAAATATTGCGATATCTTCATTTAATATAATAAGTCATTATACTTTTAACAAACAACGATTTTTATTTTTTCACGTTATTATTTTTCACGTCGCTTGCTCTCGCTTTACTAGCCCAGATAATTTTATATTATATTTTAGCTAAAAACGGAGCAACGAATAACATTTGTCTTTTTGATGTTTTTTCCTTCGCACATACGAAATACTTTGTCAATATATCAACCACAAGCAACGCAGACGAAGTTGCGGGTATCAGCTAGTAATATTGATAAAATTTAATAAAAACTCCTATTCAATGTTACAAGCCGTCCCCATACAGATATAATACATATAATATATTTAAACATTTAAAATCTTTATCTGCGTTCATATTTTGAGAGCTACTAATTATAAAGTTTAGTATAAGCAGCTGTGAAAACTTTTACGATATCTGAACGTAAACGCAGAATAAAAAAAACACACAACCATATAGATTTCATCATGTTGGCCGCCTTACTATAAGCTCAATAATTATCTACATGTTGATTGCTAGGAAATGCTGAACCTAATTTAGAGAATTTTTACCTTTTAACTTTTTTCCTAATGACTAAAATAAATTAATTTAGTCAAGTACAATCACTGCTGCCTCCCAAGACTTCTATGCAACCTTTACAAATTTCGGAAAAAGACACTTTAGAAGCAATTATGTCATTTTCGAATGGCTCTGCTGGCGGCATTGACGGAATTACGCCTCAACATCTTAAAGATCTTGTAAGCGCTTCTGCCGGTGACGCCGGCGGAGTACTTCTAAAAGACATTACAAAATTATGTAACTTTATGCTTTCTGGTAATGTTAATCCAAATTTCATTCCATTCTTATATGGGGCAAGATTATGTGCCTTCAAAAAAAAGGATAACGGTATCCTTCCTATTGCCGTTGGTTCCACATTTCGACGCTTAACTTCAAAATTAGCTTGCAGGCTAACCTTAAGACCAAATTTCAGCCTACTCAACTAGGTTTTGGCACTAGAGGTGGCTGTGAGGCGGCGGTACATTCAGTGCGTACATTTTTAACAAACTCTGATGCAGATGTTCTTGTGAAGGTTGACCTAAGGAATGCTTTTAACTCTATCGATAGGGTAACCTTGCTGAAAGAAGTGGCTAACAATACCCCCGAAATTTATCATTACGTTTGGCAATGCTATAGTCAAAATACTAACTTGTTTTACGAAAACCATGTTATCGATTCTGCTGTTGGTGTTCAGCAGGGTGACCCTCTGGGTCCAGCACTTTTCAGTTTGGGAATTCAACCCTTTATTTCAAATTTGAAATCCAAGCTGAATGTCTGGTACCTAGACGACGGTACACTGGGAGGTAGAGCAGATGACGTCCTCAGCGATCTTACTCATATTTTTCGAAATTTTAAAAATATTGGCCTTGAACCAAATAGCAATAAATGTGAAATATTTTTTTCCAATAATTTATCTACTTCTCATAGAGACAATTTAATTCAAAATTTTAATCATATTTGTCCAAGAATAAAAACTGTCAATACCGAATCACTATACCTGCTAGGTGGGGCACCTAGCAGGTATAGTGTTTAGGTATAGCAGGTTTAGTTGTTTTTCGATAGTATTAAACCTGTTTTAAAAACACAATTTGATCAGTATTTAAACCACGTTGATAAATTGTATAAATTAAACCCCCACATAGCTCTTACTATTTTAAAATATTGTCTTCTTGTACCTAGATTTACATACTTACTCCGCTCGAGTCCAGTCTGGAAATGTTCGGATATTTTACAAGATATTGATAATAATCTTAAAATTGCTATAGAAAAAATTCTAAATTTAACTTTAAATACAACAGCCTGGGCTCAAGCTACTTTACCTATAAAATTTGGTGGCATTGGTGTGAGAAATCTTTCTAGCGTTGCATTGCCTGCTTTCCTTGCTTCCGTCCATAGTGTCAGTGACTTATGTAACATAATTTTAAATAATAAAGTAGACCTATGCTTTGCTACGGAGGCAGGGCAGACATGGCAAACGCTCTGTCCTGGTGAAAATATTCCACTGGAAGTTAACCAACAAAAACAGTGGGATATTCCGTTGGTACAGGGCGTGCAGAAGGATTTGTTTCATAATTTCCATAGTGACCAAGATAAGGCACGCCTTCTAGCTGTTTCGACTAAGGAATCTAGTCACTGGTTACACGCTTTACCATCAAGTAATCTCGGCACATTACTTGATAGGGAAAGCTTGCGTATTGCCGTAGGAATCCGACTAGGAGCGGCGATTTGTCAACCCCATCAGTGCCTCTGCGGTAGCAGCGTCGACAAGTTTGGGCTCCACGGACTTTCATGTAAGAAAAGCGCTGGTAGGTTTTCACGACACAGTTCTTTGAACGATGTCATCCGAAGGGCTCTTGCCTCTATAAATGTTCCCTCGGTTTTAGAGCCTTGTGGAATATTTAGAGACGATGGCAGGAGACCCGACGGTATGACATTGGTCCCTTGGGAGAGAGGTAAAGCCCTAGTGTGGGATGCTACTTGCGTGGACACTCTGGCGGCCTCTCATCTCAGGGGTACCTCGTTTAAAGCCGGGGCGGCATCAGAGGCAGCTGAGCTGAGTAAGTGGCGCAAATATGAGTCTCTGAGAGATGACCACATATTTGTGCCATTTGCTGTAGAGACTATCGGTCCGTGGGGTCCACGTGCGGTGAAGTTCCTAAAGGAACTCCATCCGCGGCTGGTCGTTGCTGCTGGTGATAAGAGGGCTGGTTCTTTCCTCGCTCAAAGGCTAAGTATAGCCATTCAGCGGGGAAACGCAGCCAGCGTTCTTGGCACGATACCGCGGGGAGTAGGACTATATGATAATTAAGTTTCTAGTTTTAGTTTTTTTTTTTATTATCATAGTTTTTAATCTTGTAGATAAAATTAAGTATTATGTAAAATTGTAAATAAAGTACAATCATTGAAGCACAATATACTTCTTTACGATACGCAACAGAGTCATCTTTCATCGCGTCACGATAAACACCAAACGCGCGCCAAAAAACTTATGAATGAAATCGCGATGAGTCACCGCGCCTCAGCGTGCCATTCACATCTCTCTATGAAGTTGATTCAACATTTTTCTCAGAACATCACAATTACTGTGCGGCGTGGCGCCAAAACCACCTAATATTAAGCTTTTATAAATTACGATAACCAGATACTTCTTACATTACCATGATTGCTGATATAAAACTGAGTACTATATAAAACTAGGTCCATTGAAGTACGTAAGTATATTATACTTCAATAGTTTGGTCCTATTATTAATTTCCCGCCTTAAAAATTAATCATTTTCAAAAGTAGGAAATTATAGATTTCAGTTGGATTTTGAGAATGTGAGTTTTCAACAGATCTCCACGTTTTCAGGTCTTAGGAAATGTGTGTTGTGTGTATATATGTATGTGTGTATGTAAATAAAATTTTGTCGTTTAATATATCTTTAGAACGAACCACCCGATCGAAATGGGCGACATGGCGTTCGAAAGTGTTCATTGGGACTGCGAGTTGATTAGATTTTCAAGGCAATCGGTCGAAACGTTTCAAAGATTTTCTAAAAATAAATACCGAAAAAAATAATTAAATAGATTTTCGAGTGTTGCACTTGAAAATAATCGGGAAGTTCCAGGGTTGGCCTGCAGGGTCAACCCTGGAATGGTAATAGAATATAGATAAAGTATTTTTCATTTTAAAATATTAATATATTATATTCATTAATTCATTACATCCCTTTACAAGTCCACTGCTGAACACAGACCTACCCCAAGGAAAGTCCTGAGCCACCTGCATCCATCGACTTCCTGAATATCTTACAAGGTCGTCACTCCTTTTAGTGGGGTGTAAAATATGCCATGAGTTAAATATTAATTAAAATTAAAAAAAAAACTTAGCCCCACATACCACGTACACCTTTATACGTGGTAGAGCTAAGCTGCAACTATATTATGGTTGTAGCACGAATAGGTCCGCTCATCCGATCCAAATCCGAAGGACTATGCTTTCACAGAATACAACAGCTTAATGCTGCTGTGTTTC